CTTTGGCATCTTCTACATTTGCATACGTTTCCCCATTAAGATGGTATTGCAGCGAACGAAAAAGATGGTAATCTGATGGTGCCATATCTGAAGAATATGGGAGTGGGGGAGAACTTTCCAACCCAACTCCATAATCTTGTGTTGTGTCAAACGTGCCTCATGTGGACTTGCATTGTTGTGGAGAAGAGCATCTTTCCGATTGACGACTGAAGGGCGTTTCTGATGAAGGACTTGATTTAAACGTTCCAGTTGCTGACTATAGATCTCTGCATTGACGGTTCGCTGTGGATTGAGGAGTTCGAAATGAATTACCCCTTTGATGTCCCACCAAATGCAAAGCATCCTTTTCTGAGGATAGAGTCCAAGTTTTGGAGTCGAAAGTGGTTTTTGTCTAGGAACATTTTTGGATAGAATTGTCAACGGTGATGAAAAATGGATTCTCTATGCGAATATTAAACGCCAAAAACAATGGCTCAGCTTCACGCGCCAGAAGAGACGAAGCAATATTCGCACGTTGGAAACGATGATCATCGGAGTGTTCGTGAGGCACCCAAACACCTTCTTTATGGAGTTTTCCCATATTCCTTAGATTCTTACGTATTGTTTCATGAGAGACATGCAATTTCAGACCATTTCACGAGTGTGTTGTTTTGGTTTAGACTCAACAAGAGTCTTCAGAGCATCAATATCCATTCCAACATGTCGGCCCCTGCTATCACAGTTTTCAAGGCTAAAGTCACTGAACGAAATTTGCTGAACCATCGTTGACACTTACGAACGTTCAAAACATTTCCATAAACTTCTTTGATATTCTTCGTGGCTACAGAGGCTTTGTTTCCCTTCTTGTATTCAAACAATATTACATGCCGAATGTATGTCTCGTCGTGTGCCATCACTATAAGGGATTAGAGTATACTAAACTTTACACAATATATACGCTACGTTAACGTGACGTTTAGGCGGTTCGTTTAACTATTATACGTGATGTACGTTTTTTTGGGGGGTAATGAAAGTGTTGCAGAACACGACATTAATTTCTTGACGACCTAATATTTCATAATACTCGTTACCATTATATAAAAAAATGTTTGATGGATAAATTATGAGCTGTATGATACTGCTAGTAACAAACAACGTATTATTCAGGTTTGTTTAAAACTCGTATATTTACAAATAAATAATCTGTTATGTGTCAATATAAGAAATTTATTAGTTCATAAAATAAATTACAATTTTTAAAGAAATACCGTGATTATGTTTTTTCTTGTTTCTTTGGCTCTGAAAGAACACGTTGCCTGCCCTTCCTTCGTCAGGACTCAGCCAGGTGGCGTTGATCAACGCAGCTCCATGTCCCTTGAACATTAAAAGTGATTTCCTGGAAACAAAATTAGCAGTAAACCAGGTAATAAACATAAAATATTGGAAGGTAATTTTATTTTCTTATTCAGGGGGAAAGTCTTAAGAATACCAATGTGAATAATTCTGTTTGTGACTTTTGGCTTTATCAGCACTGTGTGACACCCTCTTACAGTTGTGAGAAGCTCTACATAAGATATTTTAGTGATCTACAATTGAATAGAAATTGAGATAAAATCCACATTTTGTTATTCAATATTTTTTACAGATTTTCTTTCTTATTACATGATGATCTTTCTTTCATCAGTGTTGTGAGGAGACGAAATCCACTATATACGTTAAATAAAAGTCCAAAGATACAGCTTTTGAATGGACTTTTTTATTTGGATGTTAATTTTATTTAACTTTTTTACGACGTGTCGACCACTCACATGAGCCATCATTAGGTAACTGTTTCTATTTTGTGAAATACTGAGCGATCATTTTGTTCCATTTTAGAAAACATAGAGGGCGACTCTATGTATATGTTTTCTAAATTGGAAAATAGAAACAGTTACCTGATGATGAACCACCCGAGTGTTCGAAACGTTGTAAACCATTTAAATATTGATAAACAATCCACTAAAATGCTACGTTCTTTGGACTTTTATTTGTCAGTAGGCTTAGTTAAAACAACTGACGTACTAATAAGTCACTGGTCGTTGATGCTTTTTCGTGTGAATAACGTGAGAGAAAAACAAGAAACAATATGGAATAGAAACAATAAAGAATGACTTCATAATTCACTTGACACCTAGAAGGAATGACTTCATAATTCACTTGACACCTAGAGAGAAAGGCTTCATAATTCATTTGACACCTAGCAGGAATGACTTCATAATTCACTTGACACCTAGAAGGAATGACTTCATAATTCACTTGACACCTAGAAGGAATGACTTCATAATTCACTTGACACCTAGAGAGAAAGACTTCATAATTCACTTGACACCTAGAAAAAAAACAACTCTAGTTGATAAATAACTAAACAAGAAAGTAACCTGAACAATCGTAAATGGCTTTGCTGAGATGGGAAACATGTATATAACAAAACCGAGTTTGGAAACACACATACATATGCGCGCGTATTTTAATAAATCATATTACTTTTATAATTTGTATTGCAACATAATTTTATGCAAATGTTTTCTTTTTTTTTGCTATTGAAATACAAACCAAATGTTATAATTCAATCTTATATGCTTTTAGATTTATATCATAAAGGACTTAGAGTCAAATGTATCCCATAACCTGACCTTCACCTCTACGCCAGGAGAATGTGACATTAAATTCGAGCCCGTTAATTACGTTCTTCAGACATCAAGTAAAGACGTACAAGCCATGATGGTGACCTCTGACCTCTCAAAATTATTGATACATCAGGTCAGTTACATATGCTTCAGATCAGGGACACTCAGCTATAACAGTAATACCTGACCTACAAGTAATTTTAAAGATCATTATAGCATGTACTATTATTG